TCCTCATTGACTATTGACTAACAACCCCTACTGAGCCAAGGGGAACCAACACCTCCATTTCCGCACTCAATCTACCAATCCTTCCATTTTGTAGACTAATGATTCCATGTGAGGCAACTAGTCATCCACCCGTACCGCAGTCCCACGGTGGATACCTTCGTCCGTGGATACTCCACACAAGAGGAAGGACGTACGCATGGAAGCCCAATACGTTCGATTTCAAATTTTAGGGGTAGGAATATACCTTGCTCAAGGGTATATTATACTTTTTAAGTAGCCACTAATCAATGGGAATCGAACCCGTGCCATTTGCTCCGATACCAACTGTAGCGCACCTTATCTCTCTCCCCTTAAGCCAACTGGAAAAGGGGCAATTGCTTGATGAGAGAGCCCTTAGTGGCTATTTTATCCCCATTTATCTCCCAAGGTTCCAAGGATCCACGGTGACAGTATATCCAAATCTCATCCCATGATCACATGCGCTACATATTTGGACTTAGTCTCTGGCTCGATCTCAGACCCGATTTCGGATCCGACTTCGGATTCGGTCTCGAACTCGATCTCGGACTCGATCTCGGACCCGATCTCGGACCCGACCTCGGACTCGACCTCGGACTCGGTCTCGGACCTGATTTCGGATCTCGGACTCCGTCTCGAACTCGGTCTCGAACTCGGTCTCGAACTCGGTCCCCGAGTCGGTCTCGGACTCGATTCCGGACTCTATCTCGAACTCGGTCCTAGAGTCGGTCTTGGACTCGATCCTCGACTTGGTCCCATTCGATGAACTCTTTGTCATTTCGGTCAAGCTTTTGGGGATCCTTTAGCCTACGACATCTCGGGGAGTCGGTTCCTTACAACTCCACCACCCATAGAAGAAGTTCGATGCCCACATCGAACGTCTCGTTTTATCCTACGACTTGTTGACCATGTCTCCGGGGGCATCCCCCCACTTAGCGGTGTGCCTAAGTTAGCCTCCCCGGCCAAAAGCCCATGACAACGGAATATAGGTGTCCCTATACTCCTCACCTCACCACGCCCTAGTATGGGGTCGGGACTTGAACCCAGCCTTGCTTTACTAGGGGGTTGGGACTCAAACCCAACCTCCGTAGAATACGTCTACGAATTCGACATCCCCGCGGGGAGTCGGGCGTAGTGCCCTACGCCTGGTCGACCTATCCAACCTATGCTAATTAGCTTACCTTTGGCGCGCCTTCGGGTCCCAACATATGCCACTTGCTCAACTTTGCAAATTGATATTTTTAATTGAATTTTGCATAAGTACATAGAGTTCTGCCTTGCAGAAATTCCTCCACTAGATCTCCGGTTCCCATGTTGCTTCGCAGTGTGGAAATCCTTTCCACTTCACATGGAACTCTCTCACCTCGCGTCCTTGTTACTTGCTCTTGCGCGCATTGAGGATGGCCTCGACTTCGTATTCCTCTTCCCCTTGGATAACCTCAGGTAAAGGTCTCACTTGGTCCTTGCGAAGCGGATCCTCAAAGTACGGCTTGAGTAAGTTCACGTGGAACACTGGGTGCATCTTCCCCATCTCTCGAGGAAGTCGGAGTCGGTAAGCCACTTTACCGATTCGTGCCTCAATCTCGTAAAGCCCCGCGAACCTGCTTAAGGAACTCAAGATCAATTCATTTACAGGAATACATGCATCTTTACCTTTGGGTCAACTTTCGGCTGATCCCACTTGGTAGTCTGAGGTTCTTGGTGTTCAGCCACACCTTCTCCCCAGCTTGGAACTCTACATCCCGACGCTTCTGGTTCGCGTATTTGGTTTGCCTTTGTTGAGCCCGTTCCAAGGAATCCCTCACTAGATTCCAAATGCGGAGTCTTTCCGCCGTGAATGCCTCCACTGCGGGCAACTCTCCATGATACTCGGCCACGCCGAGTTCCACAGGACCTTCAATAGCTCGCCCATTGATGACTTCCCATGGACTCACCCCGATACTCGAATGTGGTGAGTTGTTATAACACATTTCTGCAAGTCCCAAATGACTTACCCAATCAGTCTGGTCTCCCGAGACATAGCATCGCAAATAATCCTCCAGTTGCCTATTCACCCTTTCCGTTTGTCCGTCTGTCAAGAAGTGTTAGTGCCAACAACTTGACTCAATACCCCATACCTGTCTGTGGGTGATAGGCTGTGCTAAATTTCAACTTGGTGTGATACTGTTCTAGGAGAGTCTTCCAGAACCTACTGGTGAAGATCTTATCTCGATCTGAGATGATCTCTTCCGGTCTTCCCCGCACTCGAACCACTTGTTCGAAGAACAGCTTTGCCACACCTTCCGCATCCACCTCCGTTGTGGTGGGTATGAAGTGTGCCATTTTCGAAAATCGATCCACCACCACAAATATCGCATCAAACCCCTCGCTTGGGGGGAGTCCCGTGATGAAGTCCATCGTAAGACATTTCCACGGGCGATCTGGAATTCGGATGCTTTGCAACAAGCCCCCACTAGCCTTAGTCACGGCTTTTACCTGCTGACATGTTGGACATGTCTTTACATAGTCTTGGACGTCCTTAACCATATCTGGCCAATGGTACTTCCTTTTGAGTAAGCCCATCGTCTTGGGCACTCCACCCTGTGTCCCGGCTGTGCATTGCTGTGAGGTTAAGCATCAATCGGTCTTTAACTGGTTTAGCGTGATACGTCTGGAAAAGAGCCCCTTGAGTCCGCAATTGTATGCTCAACAAAGAAGAGATGGTTAACGAACAAAGGCTAAACTCTTTTTTTTTAATCTTCCCTTTGCTTAATAAGAATACGTATATTTATACTGTCGTTTTAAACATCGTATGTACATAATCATAACGGCGGCGGCGGCGGCGGCGGCGGTGGTGCCTTCGGGTAATACAGTAGCTTCTCCAGCCGCAGCACTACGCCGCAGTGGTAAGGCAGCACTGGATGCCGGTGGAGATACATGGGACTGATGGTCAGCCACGAGAGGCCATAAAATTCCGCTCCAAGTTGCTCTAGAACGTAGCGGATTTGCAGCTTGATGCCGCTGCTGCTCCCTGGCTTCCCTGTGCCCACACTGCTGCTACTACCGGCGTTGTCACACAAGCCATTCCCACCCAGACGCATCCCTTGCATCTCCTGTCTCGAGCCTTGGAGGAGCCGAAGTGTGCTACGAGACCGTTCTGGAGCGTCCTCGGCCATTCCTCCTCCATGGAAACATGAACAACCTCGGCTCGTAGAGCTGTGGTCGGGCCGGAGATGACGTAGCCGGATGCAACGGGAGAGATGGAGCCTCTGCTCTGTATCCACTGTCCAAATGCCGTGGCGTTGGCTACGGACCATGTCGAAGCCGCTGGAATAAAGTATCAGTCAGCGAATACGTAAATACGAAAAAAACTTCTAGCTTACCAGTTGATTCGGTCAGGCTCGGCCCCTGCAATAACTCGTCACCAGACACCGTCCCCAAGGTTACACCGGCCAGCATCCCAGCATGAAAGTTGATCTCCGGCTTTGGGAGTAAACCACGCAAAACAAAAGAGGCCGAATCACCACGGGCCATGCTCTGGATTCGTCCAGCCAGTGAGGTTGTGTCTTGCTGGGAACTTGTAAAACTCGCGACAATCTGGAGAGAGGGCTTTGGATTCACCGTCAGAGGCGATAACTTCATCCTATGTACGTTCCAAACAGTAAACGTTTTCAAGCATTTAAAAAGCTCGTTCTCTCGTGGGCTGGCAGGACATATTTCAGATCACATGTACAAGCCAAAGCAATGCCAACGATTGCTATTTTGTTGTAGCCATGGTTTATGGACAGTGCCAAGTACGACATTGGTCCCATTACACCTACTGTGTTTGGAGGAAATGGCTCACTGTGTTGACATTTTCAGTGAAGGTGCATTGGATTTGATGGATTTGATAGATATTCATAAACCAACTATTCCAGCTTGCAGGGATTAGGAACTCTCTAACTGCTTCTAGCTTGTTCAGCTCTCCTGAGATTCGACAGATATTAGTCACCTACAAGGCAGCATTCCTCTCAGCTTTCCGAGCATACTTCTGTTAAACTCCAACAAACTGGGAGGCCATCTTCTCGGGTGAGCCTTCCAAAAATTTCAGCTCCAATGCGACCAACAACAGGTTTGAAGGCAGTGTTCCATCAAGGAACTTTAGCAGCAACCAAACAAGTTGTCTGGGAAGCTACCAACTCAATGTGAACCACTATACCAACACCAATATGAGAATTGAAGAAACTCTTTGCGTCGAGTCCTTGTTATTGATCATGATTGGGTTCAATGGTTGACTCTTCCCCATGGCCTGGTTCAATTAAAGTTTGCATTGTTAGTGCAAAATGGTCCTGGGATCCAAACTTTCAGCCAGCTGGAGGGATGGATGCCGTTGGAAAATGGCTGGACAGGCAGGACCTCCTACACCGGTGCCAGGTGCTCTACCAGTGAGCTACCTGCCTTGGTTGTGTGCATGTTCAGCTTAGTTCTAACAGATGCTGCCATTTACTCTATTTTATGAGCTCTCAACACAGGAGTAATCCAGCTTTCCCTACCTAAGAGCAAAAAATCGATCGGGGTAGCACCCCTGGTACAAGGGTTGCTAGTGGCATATATGTTTTCAATACAGACAATATATGTGACAACAGAAAATGAATATAAAAAATCAAAATGGTCGAGACGAGCATTTTTCCAAAATAAATTGCCACCGTATGCAACTTGTTACCCTGCACCCTTGCAACCGTGCCTGATCGTTTTTCAGGCCTAGGCTCTCCAGCTTCGGTCCGCTCATTCTATCAAGGGCTGCAATCTCTACGTTTGCAACACTGGAGCTGATATTTGTTTTTGTGCTGAGACTGGGCATTGTTCCCGCATTTTACCGGTGAATCTTCGCAAAGCAAGCCACTATCTAATGCCAATTTGGCATTAGATGTCCTTTGGCATTGCCAAAGGACATTCAGCTCGCCCGTCACATCCGTGGTGAGAGGGCTTATCTTACTGCATTAAGATATCCATTGTGTCAAGGACACACGTTTTGAACATTTCTAAAGCACCAATGCTGGACTTCAAAAGCCCATCAGATCTGCAATAGAGAAGTATGGCTGGAAGCGGCAATCTCCCCGTGCTCGTTCTTCTTCTGTTGGCCTCGTTATCCTGTGAGAGAGATCTCCACTTGTATGTTCGATTCTAACTCGGACTCCTGTTCTTGCAGCTGCTCAAGGTGGTGTCGTCGAGGTTTGCAATGGTGACCTCACCTATACCGATTGCAGCAACTGCTGTAGTCTGAAGAAAGGTTGTGTCTATCTGCAACCTGGTTCAGGACAAGTCACTTGCATTGGCGGTGATTCAAGGGCTTGTACCCGGGAGTGCCAAGGTCCGAAGTTGGCCGTATGCCCATTGCCTTCATCAGGATTCCCAACATCAGGCATCAAGGTGCTCAAGGGAAAACTCCCACCCCGACAACCTGGATGCGGTTACTACAACATCGTTAACGGTGACCCCATCCCGCGGCTGGAGCAGCAGGGCACAGATCAAGGTAACCGCCTTGTTCATTATGTTCAGGAAGCTCAGCCCTCTCCGATAGAGCTCATGGCAGGAAGGAAGTGTAAGCTTGATTCGATTGTGGAGGTCTGCAATGCCGAGGTCTCCAAAGATAACTGTGGTTGCTGCTTCGGGAAATCCGGTTGCATCTACTTGGAGAATCCATCCGCAAACAGCACCTGCCTGCCTACTGAAGACCCCATGGGGGTTTGCGCCCTCGTTTGCCTGCCCAGAGTGTCCATTTGTGCCAAGTCTGTAACTTTTCAGGGCACCACCCTGCAGTCTTGCAGGAATGCACGCCGCAGCTGCGAGGACATGAAAGAGGGCTGCAATCTCTACGTTTGCAACACTGGAGCTGATATTTGTTTTTGTGCTGAGACTGGGCATTGTTCCCGCATTTTACCGGTGAATCTTCGCAAAGCAAGCCACTATCTAATGCCAATTTGGCATTAGATGTCCTTTGGCATTGCCAAAGGACATTCAGCTCGCCCGTCACATCCGTGGTGAGAGGGCTTATCTTACTGCATTAAGATATCCATTGTGTCAAGGACACACGTTTTGAACATTTCTAAAGCACCAATGCTGGACTTCAAAAGCCCATCAGATCTGCAATAGAGAAGTATGGCTGGAAGCGGCAATCTCCCCGTGCTCGTTCTTCTTCTGTTGGCCTCGTTATCCTGTGAGAGAGATCTCCACTTGTATGTTCGATTCTAACTCGGACTCCTGTTCTTGCAGCTGCTCAAGGTGGTGTCGTCGAGGTTTGCAATGGTGACCTCACCTATACCGATTGCAGCAACTGCTGTAGTCTGAAGAAAGGTTGTGTCTATCTGCAACCTGGTTCAGGACAAGTCACTTGCATTGGCGGTGATTCAAGGGCTTGTACCCGGGAGTGCCAAGGTCCGAAGTTGGCCGTATGCCCATTGCCTTCATCAGGATTCCCAACATCAGGCATCAAGGTGCTCAAGGGAAAACTCCCACCCCGACAACCTGGATGCGGTTACTACAACATCGTTAACGGTGACCCCATCCCGCGGCTGGAGCAGCAGGGCACAGATCAAGGTAACCGCCTTGTTCATTATGTTCAGGAAGCTCAGCCCTCTCCGATAGAGCTCATGGCAGGAAGGAAGTGTAAGCTTGATTCGATTGTGGAGGTCTGCAATGCCGAGGTCTCCAAAGATAACTGTGGTTGCTGCTTCGGGAAATCCGGTTGCATCTACTTGGAGAATCCATCCGCAAACAGCACCTGCCTGCCTACTGAAGACCCCATGGGGGTTTGCGCCCTCGTTTGCCTGCCCAGAGTGTCCATTTGTGCCAAGTCTGTAACTTTTCAGGGCACCACCCTGCAGTCTTGCAGGAATGCACGCCGCAGCTGCGAGGACATGAAAGAGGGCTGCAGTCTCTACGATCGCAACACCGGAGCTGATCTCTGCGCTGCAGGGGGTATCGCTCTGCCTGTCTAGTCTAGTTGCTGAAACTAGTTATGGGCATTACTATTATGAATGAATAAGGCTGCTTGCTATAATCCATTGTTCTCAAGACTGAAGTAAACAATCCTAGGCTCTCAAATCTACTATAGATCTAGAAACTTCAGAGACTCCACTATAGAGAGGCATTGTATGCATACCTTGCAATCAAAAGCTTTGCTTGTTCCCAATTTGAGGTGTGTTGGATTGCTTCCTCCAAAGGCGCTGGATTCTGAATTTTCATGTGAGATTCTATCTCTAATGGCAATCCTTGACAATAATACTTAATATGACTAGAGGAGCTGGCGATTGAGAAAAGCCACTCTTAGGGTTGGTCAATCTGTGAATGGTGTTTTGTTCTACTATGCCTAGCCACTCGGCTGCTCCATCCTCTGTTGTAACCACAACCGCTCCACATCTGAATTCTCATTATTTATCTTAGAAATAAAGAAAGTTTGCAAGTGTGCATCTGGATCACTAAACCTGTTAAGCATAAAATACTTCATCATTGTGGAAGTCCACTTCCTCTGGCTCCTCCTGACATAATTGGAGTAGAGGATTGTGTTGGAGAAGATGTGGGCTAGAATTTGCTAGTGTCGAAGAACCTATACTTCCTGTGGAAGAACAACACCAGCGTGAAAGAGAACCTTGAGACTTGATGCTTGTAAGTGCAATGGTGAACTTCACCACCCAAATTCACTTCACCCAACTTCTAGTGGATCAAGTTCACCCAACTTCACCCACTGCAAAAATTTACAAATCACCCAAGTCCATGTGTTTGTCAAAACATTAAAGTGTGAATGACAATAGGCTGTCTTGTATTGAATTATGGTCCAATCAATCAGCCATAGTACAAAAGAGTCGAATACATTTTTTCTAGAACAAGAACAATGCGTCAGGAACTTAACCACGTCCATCCCTTCAAGCAGCCTGGGAACAGGGTGAAAGCATCTTGTCTTTCCGTATGCCCACTGAAAATATTCAAAGTTGTTTGTAACTTTTCTTTTATAAGATTTTCATATGCCAGGAACTTAACCACGTCCATCCGTGAAAGCATCTGTAGTCTCATCTCATGCTTCGTGGCGGGCACTAGTAAACCATATAAACAATTTATGATGAATGAAAACATTCAAAGTTGTTTTAACTTTGTTTTCATGAGATTTCTATAATGCCAGGAACTTAACCACGTCCATCCCTGGGAACAGTGTGAAAGCATTTGCAGTCTCAATCTCAGTGTGAAAGCATCTTCTCATTCCATATCCCCCACAAACCACTTAAAATATTCAAAGTTCTTTGTAACTTTGCTTTTATAATTGAGACACCGAGCCATGGGTTCTCTGCGTAGCCTTACACCGCAGATGAAGTTGCTTGTGTTCTCGGCCTGCATTCTTGTTCTCTTCTCGTGCCATGGACACGCACTGATTTCTGTGCAGCAAGGCGATCTGTCGGAGGTGGACAGCTCCACGGCGATCCTGAGAATGAGCGGCGACTCCCTCCACAAACAGGTATGGTGGCAGTTCCTCCCCCTCCAGGACAGGCGTCCCGAGGCCTTTCTCCGGTACATGGTTGGCGCTGTACACAACCAGTCACGCTGCGATTTTGGGCACGAAGACCAAAATCTGACGGATCGGGCTAAATCGGAGATCAGGCAGAAGAAGGGTCTGTTAGGCACGAGGGGAGCAGCCATTGCAGAGTACCAGTCCGTCGACCACATCAAGAGCCTGGGAACGATGCGTGTCACAGTATGGATCCTGGCTTACTTGTGTGTTGGCGACAGCAACAAAGATGACAGTAAGGCTTGCGACAGTGTGGCTCCAGTCATACTCACTACGATCGGGGAGAAGCCAGCGTTTAGAACAGTCTGGGAGGTCTCCGAGTCCATAGGAACCTCTAAAGAGAATGGAGAAGATAAGTTTAGCCAGACAGTTAGCAACTCTTTAACAGCAAGAATTCTCGAGCTCTCCAGCAACAGCCGCCAAGTCAAGTTGCTCAACAGCTCGGATGTGAAAATCAAAAGCTTTCAAGATGGCACACTTATCTCCTGCTCAAACAAGACGAGGACTGACAGTAAAACCAGCGCTAGACGTAATTTAATGTACGGAGATGAAGATGAAGATGCGACGGGAAGTTCCGGAGTTAAATCGGTGATAGATGAGACGGGAAGTTCCAGACATAAAACGCTGGTGGGAAGTTCCGGAACGAAACAGATGATAGATGCGACGGGAAGTGTCGGAGATAAACAGATGGCGTCCAGAGATTTTTCAACCGCGGGGCAGGCCTGGAGGGTGCAGGCCCAGAGGGTGCAGGCCGAGACAATACTGGGCATAAAAGCTGTCGTGAAGAAAGCTTCTGACGCGCTATCAAATGGACGACAAATTCAACAGCACAAGTAGCAAGCAATACTGCCGGGTTTTGGGAATGGAGCAGCCACTAAATTTTCTAGGAGAGGAAGACAATATCAGCAAATGCGAGCAACAAGTACACACACCTGTTTTAGCGTCTGGCTCGACGGGAAACTTTGTTGCATGCTCAAACTCTAGCGCCGATGGCGAAGGCTACCTGTGTGTCCAAGGCAATGGGAACCGAACAGACGTGCTATCGCTGTTCCACCGATTATATCCACCTCCGGCATCCTGGAGGAACGACACAAACTTTTCAGAAATAAACAATGTCCAAGGCCTTACCGACTGTGTGGTGCCAGCAGCGAGAGATATGTGCCTGGCAGGCACCGATTTCATCCCATCTTTCAATGATACCATAGATTCCGAGGTCGGTATCCTTGAAGCTCAAGAACCTGTACATCCAAGCTCACAGCTCGGCTCTCAACCTGGAACAAGGAGCCGCCACGGATTTCTGGGTGGCAGCCATCGCTCTTCCCAGCACTTTCATCGCCGTGGTGGCTACTACAAAGCCACTCACAAATTCACAGCTAAGTCGCCTTCGTTCAAAAAACTTGAGAAGGAAAACCCGCTACCTCAAGACCGCACTGCTGTTGATCGCCAACTTGCTGCTGGCCATCGTCTCCTACTCGGCTGTCATCGCCATGATGGGCACAGAAATGCAGAGGCAGGCGAAGTTCGTGACCTGGGGACTCCACGCCGACCAAGTCCAGATCACGCAGCGTGGTCTCCAGGTGCTCGCGGTTATTCAGGGAGAATCCACCTACAAGTCCAAATCCCTCCTCCTGGCGTGGATTTCCATCGCAGCGCTGCTGCCAATCGTGGCACTGATCACCGTCCGCCGCTGCATGCAGGTGTTCGAGATCCAGGAGCTGCTGCAGAAGGGGAGAGCGCACAAGTTGGAGTTACCCGGCGACGAAGCGGGCGACGACCTGCGCGCAATCGAGATGACGAGGGCGCAGCACGAGGACCTCAAGAAGGCCATGGAGAGGGCGCAGCACGAGGACCCCAAGACGGCTATCGAGAGCGGCAACAAATGCAGCAGCGATGAAATCGAGATGACGAAGGCGCAGCACAACCTCAGCGGCAGCAAATGTAGCGGCGATGGGCGGCAGCCCAAAAAGAGGCAGAGCCTAAAAAAAACACAAGTTTGAGTTTAGAACATTCCATATCTAAATCTACCTTTTCTAAGATAAAGTCATCGTGCCATAACTCTTGGGCCGCCACCTTTCCGGTTGACAATGTCGCGCCGCTCAAAAGGGCCTGGTTCGCTGGGGTAACCAACACGTGGCACGTGGTGAAACGGCTACTGCTGGCGCTGCGTGTTCTTCGAGTGGGGACTTCAAGATCGTTCGCTACTCCATGAACTTAGGCCAGCAATCGAGTGATTATCTCCGCTACGGTCACATGGTGTCCGCCATGCAGCAGCAAAATCTCCTCCAGAGCATCGTCCAGGTCCAAGCTTTCGACTCGCGGAGCTAACAGCGCATGGAAGGAGTCGGACGTGAGCGTCGTCGAGTCGTGCCGGGATCACGACGCGCTGCGCGGCGTCTGGGAGTCGGGCAAGTGGATGCCGGCTCCTTCTTCTCCCAGAAAGGGATCGAGTGGCCTCTGGTTGACGACAGTGACCACCACCAGTTTGTGCTGTGCGGCGCAAGATTCTCGACTTCTGGCACTTTGATCGCAGCGCAGCCATTCTCGGGCCGACAAAGTGCTGGATCGTGGATGTGCCCAAGAAGTTTTTGGGCGATGGGAGCGGATATGGATTCCGGGCGTGTAATGTTGTGGATCGAGTGGTGGTGCTGGAGCTCTGCCTTATGACGATGACGATGACGAGGAAGACGAAGAGGAGTGGGAGGAAGACCAGCCTGGAGAGAAGAGCATGGCTCCGGAGCAAGAGGAGAGAAAATGCCAAACGAGGAAGGACTTGATGAAAAGCAACAGGAAGAGAACAAGATTTTGGTGGTGTATAATTCAGCAACTGCGAGGTGGCGGAAGTTACCGTACATCAAGAGCATCCGGTATGACGCTGGTTACTTCAGGCTCAACAACACTTCAAGGACGAACAAACAAAGAACTTGAAGCACAAGAGATAGGAACTATATGTTTGGAATTTACCTGATGTTGGTTTAAAAGTTTTCCTAAATGCAAAGAAGAGTTTGTGGCTTCAGACCACGCGAGTGATGCTGATCTCTCCAGTCTGTGAATCGAAGGACGCGTTGAGCTCTAAAGTCTCCGTGGCTTGCAGTGGCTTTCGGAAAAGCTTGACGCCCTGCTTCCAGCCTAGACGTAAAACGAAACTCCTTGAGATGAGATGGAGAGAATCTTACTCACTTGGATTTAAAAGTCCCGTTGAAAGTACCAAATCCTTGTTCTCGGGATCCATCACCCAGTCCATCCACAGGACAACTCCATGGCAGAGCCCAGTCTTTACAACGCTAACCTGTGCAAAAGTAGCAGAAAACATTAAGTGGTACCAAAGAGGACAGAATTGAATAACCTTTGCAAATCCACTTAGACTCTTGAATTCCTCACGCATGTTGAACTCGAGCAGCGAAAACGGTTTTGTCAATGACCTGTGATCAAAGCCATCGACTTCTTCAAGGCGACAGCGGCTTTGCCACAAATCCTGATTTAGCCAACATGAAACCAAAGTCACTGCAGAGAAAATAATCAACTTACAGGAAGATGACAAGCCATCCCATAGAGAATTCCAAAGCAGGGAACTATAATAGGGTTCTCTGATAGCAACGGACTTAGCGTCGTTCTCTCGTACCTGGATTCTCACTGCTTTAAAACAACTTCCAACTCTTTAGAAAACGAAACGAAAACGAACCAAAACCGAAGCTGCTTCCACGGCAACGCATGCTCGTACGTGGCGTAATAAGGGTCCCCTAGAAGAACATCCACCTGTCGCGAAAAGAAAGAAACCCGTCAATATCCAATGGAGTTGCAAGACTGTATACTTTATGCCCCTTGAAATCGTCCCCAGTGAGATGCTTGACGTCTTTGTGTATAATAGACAGCTTGCTCGCGACGCTCTCCAAGTACTTCAAGCCATCTCTTCTACAGCCTGGAAACAAGCCAGCCACATGGCAGGATCCATGCGCTGTAGATAGAGCACACACGGCGCTCATCAGGCCGTCATCCCGAATGAGACAGTTTCCAAATTCTCGTTCTCCAAGCTGGACAGAAAGAAAAAGAAACAATCGTACTCACAGATTCAAAACACACTTACAGCTTTCTGAATGGCAGACTGTATGATAGAACGCCTGCTACCGTCACCAAGCATGCGACACCTTTGTAGGCTCAGCTCGAAACCAGACGCTGAACTATTACAGCATACACCACCATTGATGTCATACCGCACTGACGCTTCATCATGGCTGACTACGACGCGAAGCTCCGACTGCTCCTCCACCGAAACACCTTGTCCAGGAAGAAACCACACACATTGTTTCCAATGGTCACACCACTCGCTTGCCCCTGAGAACACAAATCTGCGGAGTTACTCAAAGAATCGAACAGGAAAACAAACCTCTGATCCAACGAGGAGCAGTTGAGTAGCAAACCAGGCCATCTTTGTCAAGCTGCAGCACCCACCTTGTCAAGTTCAAGCAGAGAAGAAAGCGAACCAAGAAGTAGCGAATCCGAGCAAGTTTCGTACCATGAAACTATTGCGTGAGCAGTCCCAGAGAAGTTGACATGCACGGCTTGATTAAATTCTCCACGCACATCTGGAGCTCTATAGAAGTCAAGAACGAAGGCCTCAAACGGCTCGGAAAGCTGCAGCGCCACGGGTTTTGGTAACTTGTAAGAGAACTCTACTAAATTACCAGCTTCATACCGGGGATTTCATCAACGTGAAACGCATGCTGTCTGTGCTTGAAGTAAGAGTAGAAATCATTGGGAGCGAAAGCCAATCCGTCCTGCAGCTGGTCTTCTACCCCTTGAAGGTCGTGCAATCTCCAGAGAAAGTCGCTCTCGACTAGCTAAGAGAAAGAAGTAAACTCAACACTGAGCTAAGAAAAAAGACTTTGCTATATACCTGGGCATACACAGTAGCTCGATATGGCACTGTGGCAGCATTAGGCCGGAGTAAATGCTCATGAGCGTGCCTTGGACTTGGAATGATCCCTTCTCCAAGCAACTCCGAGTCTAAAATCTCACACACCTGGAGAGACAAAGAGTCCAGAGGAAACGAAGAAGAAGAATGTGTACAGACTTAGCGTACCAATGCATCGGCTTTGCTAGAGATGTCCACCCCGACTTTGATCTCATCCGAGCGCATATGGAGCAGCTTGATCGCTCCCATCGTCCCATTGTCTCGGCAAACTTTGCGAGCCAGCTTGTACATTGGAAGAAAAGATTCGCAAGCAGTCACCTGGCACTGCTCTTCCATTGCCCGCCAAGCCATGAGCACTGTCAAGAACGAGCTCAGGAAACGAAAGAAGGATCTCTCTAGCCTCACCCAATGTCCAGGACATGGCCATGGCGGCCGACCTTCGCGATTGCTGAAGAGAATGCCCTGTTCCTGGCGCGATCATTCAGCATGTCAAGATACGAGCTCTCTGCCAGGGGATCGCTCGCATCGCCGCCGTCGCCTCCATCGCCAACGAGAATCCATTCGCTCTCCCCCGTGAGCGCATTCACCCGCTGCTGGAGCATTGCTTCCTTCTAAAACCCTAAACTCACAAAGAATGAAAGAATGACTGGGTGCTTGGAGCTCATCCAATGCTGTGCAACTCCATCTCAAGCTCTCCAAGCTCACTCCAGGATCCAATCCATCACTAGCGGCGATATCTTCCTTTGCAACAAGCTCATCCAGATGTACGGGAGGTGCTCTACTGTCTCTAATGCCCGCCGCGTGTTTGACTCGCTCCCCAGAAAAGATTCCTTCTCCTGGGATCTCCTGCTCAATGCCTACGTACTGAACGGGGTTTTGGAGGAAGCCCAGAGAATCTTTGCCCCACAAGAGCGTCATGCCTTGGAATGTGCCCTTGGCGGGATATGCCCGGACTGGGCATATGCAAGAGTGCGTCAAGATGTTCGAGTCTGCGGCATGCTCCGAGAATGGACGGCTGGATCTCTCCCAGCAGCTGTTTGGCAGTATTCCTTTGATGTGGCGACGTGGAATGGCATGCTGGCAGCGTATGCCCGTGCCGGTCGTGTAGAGGAATCTACAAACTTCCTAGAAGAGATGCCAGAAAGAAGCCTGGTTTCATGCACAACAACCATGTTTTTAGGGACATTGTCTCCTGGAACTCAATGTTTGCGGCATATGCCAGTCACAGTTGCATAGAGCAGTCAACGTGCGTGTTTGAGAAAATGCCACAGAGGGATCTTGTGTCATGGACCACAATGCTGCTCTTGAAAAGCAAGTGTGGCGTACGGAATCGAGGAGATACAGCACAACTTCAACCCCGTGCCAGAGCAAGGCCTCCTATCCTTCAACACAATGCTCTCGGCATATTCTCAGCATGGGCATCTGACCAAGGCCATAAGAATGTTTGTAAGTCTCCCCCAACACGAATCTGCCACGTGGAATACTGTGCTGACAGCATATGCCGGTAATGGGCATCTGGGCAGAGATTTGAAGCTGCTGGCCCTGATTCCCGTGCCTGACATGGTTTCATATGCCGGGATGCTGGTAGCCCTAGCTCATTTGAGGCATTGGAACTGTTTGGTTCTCTAAAGACACTCCACCTCCCGGACTTGACGTGCTTTGTTTTGGGTCTGGTGGCTTGCAGCCATACTGGAAATGTGAGGCGAGGAAGGTAGTGCCTTTGCTTCAGTGGTAGCAGACTATGTTATTGAGCTTACAAATATTATTAAGCTATTTTGGATATCGTGAATGATATTAAAAATCAGAACGATGATATTGAACTATACTATTTTGATTGGTTCTCTGCACGCACTGAGCTTATGAAATATGGATCAATATGGATTTAAAACTTATAAAGTGGCTTGTTGCAGTGCACCAGGAGATGATTTCCATTGCAACAATCCAATATTATGTGGATGCGGAACACAAAATGGTACACTATGTGATAATCCAAGTGCACATTTATCTTTTGATGGTTTAACATTTTTATGAGGTTTCTTCCAAGATTATCAACAATTATATTACTCCTAGCGTGACTTTGTTGGGTATCCTCTGAAATTTAGTTCTTATAATTTCTATTATTTTATTTTAAAAGATAGCTTGGTGTTTTGGCTGATCGAGAGAGAATGCAGTTTCATCGAAAGTGGTAGGAATCCAGCAATGCGACATTGGCCAATGCGCCTTGGCTTAGAACCGATATCAGCAAGAAATATGGCTGTGCATTGTTGTGAGGTTAAGCATCGATCGGTCTTTAACCGGTTTAGCGTGATACGTCTGGAAAAGAGCCCCTTGAGTCCGCCATTGTATGCTCAACAAAGAAGAGATGGTTAATGAACAAAGGCTAAACTCTTTTTTTTTTAATCTTCCCTTTGCTTAATAAGAATACGTATATTTATACTGTCGTTTTAAACATCGTATGTACATAATCATAACGGCGGCGGCGGCGGCGGCGGTGGTGGTGCCTCCGGGTAATCCAGTAGCTTCTCCAGCCGCAGCACTACGCCGCAGTGGTAAGGCAGCACTGGATGCCGGTGGAGATACATGGGACTGATGGTCAGCCACGAGAGGCCATAAAATTCCGCTCCAAGTTGCTCTAGAACGTAGCGGATTTGCAGCTTGATGCCGCTGCTGCTCCCTGGCTTTCCTGTGCCCACACTGCTGCTACTACCGGCGTTGTCACACAAGCCATTCCCACCCAGACGCATCCCTTGCATCTCCTGTCTCGAGCCTTGGAGGAGCCGAAGTGTGCTACGAGACCGTTCTGGAGCGTCCTCGGCCATTCCTCCTCCATGGAAACATGAACAACCTCGGCTCGTAGAGCTGTGGTCGGGCCGGAGATGACGTAGCCGGATGCAACGGGAGAGATGGAGCCTCTGCTCTGTATCCACTGTCCAAATGCCGTGGCGTTGGCTACGGACCATGTCGAAGCCGCTGGAATAAAGTATCAGTCAGCGAATACGTAAATACGAAAAAAACTTCTAGCTTACCAGTTGATTCGGTCAGGCTCGGCCCCTGCAATAACTCGTCACCAGACACCGTCCCCAAGGTTACACCGGCCAGCATCCCAGCATGAAAGTTGATCTCCGGCTTTGGGAGTAAACCACGCAAAACAAAAGAGGCCGAATCACCACGGGCCATGCTCTGGATTCGTCCAGCCAGTGAGGTTGTGTCTTGCTGGGAACTTGTAAAACTCGCGACAATCTGGAGAGAGGGCTTTGGATTCACCGTCAGAGGCGATAACTTCATCCTATGTACGTTCCAAACAGTAAACGTTTTCAAGCATTTAAAAAGCTCGTTCTCTCGTGGGCTGGCAGGACATATTTCAGATCACATGTACAAGCCAAAGCAATGCCAACGATTGCTATTTTGTTGTAGCCATGGTTTATGGACAGTGCCAAGTACGACATTGGTCCCATTACACCTACTGTGTTTGGAGGAAATGGCTCACTGTGTTGACATTTTCAGTGAAGGTGCATTGGATTTGATGGATTTGATAGATATTCATAAACCAACTATTCCAGCTTGCAGGGATTAGGAACTCTCTAACTGCTTCTAGCTTGTTCAGCTCTCCTGAGATTCGGCAGATATTAGTCACCTACAAGGCAGCATTCCTCTCAGCTTTCCGAGCATACTTCTGTTAAACTCCAACAAACTGGGAGGCCATCTTCTCGGGTGAGCCTTCCAAAAATTTCAGCTCCAATGCGACCAACAACAGGTTTGAAGGCAGTGTTCCATCAAGGAACTTTAGCAGCAACCAAACAAGTTGTCTGGGAAGCTACCAACTCAATGTGAACCACTGTACCAACACCAATATGAGAATTGAAGAAACTCTTTGCGTCGAGTCCTTGTTATTGATCATGCTTGGGTTCAATGGTTGACTCTTCCCCATGGCCTGGTTCAATTAAAGTTTGCATTGTTAGTGCAAAATGGTCCTGGGATCCAAACTTTCAGCCAGCTGGAGGGATGGATGCCGTTGGAAAATGGCTGGACAGGCAGGACCTCCTACACCGGTGCCAGGTGCTCTACCAGTGAGCTACCTGCCTTGGTTGTGTGCATGTTCAGCTTAGTTCTAACAGATGCTGCCATTTACTCTATTTTATGAGCTCTCAACACAGGAGTAATCCAGCTTTCCCTACCTAAGAGCAAAAAATCGATCGGGGTAGCACCCCTGGTACAAGGGTTGCTAGTGGCATATATGTTTTCAATACAGACAATATATGTGACAACAGAAAATGAATATAAAAAATCAAAATGGTCGAGACGAGCATTTTTCCAAAATAAATTGCCACCGTATGCAACTTGTTACCCTGCACCCTTGCAACCGTGCCTGATCGTTTTTCAGGCCTAGGCTCTCCAGCTTCGGTCCGCTCATTCTATCAAGGGCTGCAATCTCTACGTTTGCAACACTGGAGCTGATATTTGTTTTTGTGCTGAGACTGGGCATTGTTCCCGCATTTTACCGGTGAATCTTCGCAAAGCAAGCCACTATCTAATGCCAATTTGGCATTAGATGTCCTTTGGCATTGCCAAAGGACATTCAGCTCGCCCGTCACATCCGTGGTGAGAGGGCTTATCTTACTGCATTAAGATATCCATTGTGTCAAGGACACACGTTTTGAACATTTCTAAAGCACCAATGCTGGACTTCAAAAGCCCATCAGATCTGCAATAGAGAAGTATGGCTGGAAGCGGCAATCTCCCCGTGCTCGTTCTTCTTCTGTTGGCCTCGTTATCCTGTGAGAGAGATCTCCACTTGTATGTTCGATTCTAACTCGGACTCCTGTTCTTGCAGCTGCTCAAGGTGGTGTCGTCGAGGTTTGCAATGGTGACCTCACCTATACCGATTGCAGCAACTGCTGTAGTCTGAAGAAAGGTTGTGTCTATCTGCAACCTGGTTCAGGACAAGTCACTTGCATTGGCGGTGATTCAAGGGCTTGTACCCGGGAGTGCCAAGGTCCGAAGTTGGCCGTATGCCCATTGCCTTCATCAGGATTCCCAACATCAGGCATCAAGGTGCTCAAGGGAAAACTCCCACCCCGACAACCTGGATGCGGTTACTACAACATCGTTAACGGTGACCCCATCCCGCGGCTGGAGCAGCAGGGCACAGATCAAGGTAACCGCCTTGTTCATTATGTTCAGGAAGCTCAGCCCTCTCCGATAGAGCTCATGGCAGGAAGGAAGTGTAAGCTTGATTCGATTGTGGAGGTCTGCAATGCCGAGGTCTCCAAAGATAACTGTGGTTGCTGCTTCGGGAAATCCGGTTGCATCTACTTGGAGAATCCATCCGCAAACAGCACCTGCCTGCCTACTGAAGACCCCATGGGGGTTTGCGCCCTCGTTTGCCTGCCCAGAGTGTCCATTTGTGCCAAGTCTGTAACTTTTCAGGGCACCACCCTGCAGTCTTGCAGGAATGCACGCCGCAGCTGCGAGGACATGAAAGAGGGCTGCAGTCTCTACGATCGCAACACCGGAGCTGATCTCTGCGCTGCAGGGGGTATCGCTCTGCCTGTCTAGTCTAGTTGCTGAAACTAGTTATGGGCATTACTATTATGAATGAATAAGGCTGCTTGCTATAATCCATTGTTCTCAAGACTGAAGTAAACAATCCTAGGCTCTCAAATCTACTATAGATCTAGAAACTTCAGAGACTCCACTATAGAGAGGCATTGTATGCATACCTTGCAATCAAAAGCTTTGCTTGTTCCCAATTTGAGGTGTGTTGGATTGCTAAGTACCAAATCCTTGTTCTCGGGATCCATCACCCAGTCCATCCACAGGACAACTCCATGGCAGAGCCCAGTCTTTACAACGCTAACCTGTGCAAAAGTAGCAGAAAACATTAAGTGGTACCAAAGAGGACAGAATTGAATAACCTTTGCAAATCCACTTAGACTCTTCCTGACGCATGTTGAACTCGAGCAGCGAAAACGGTTTTGTCAATGACCTGTGATCAAAGCCATCGACTTCTTCAAGGCGACAGCGGCTTTGCCACAAATCCTGATTTAGCCAACATGAAACCAAAGTCACTGCAGAGAAAATAATCAACTTACAGGAAGATGACAAGCCATCCCATAGAGAATTCCAAAGCAGGGAACTATAATAGGGTTCTCTGATAGCAACGGACTTAGCGTCGTTCTCTCGTACCTGGATTCTCACTGCTTTAAAACAACTTCCAACTCTTTAGAAAACGAAACGAAAACGAACCAAAACCGAAGCTGCTTCCACGGCAACGCATGCTCGTACGTGGCGTAATAAGGCTCCCCTAGAAGAACATCCACCTGTCGCGAAAAGAAAGAAACCCGTCCATATCCAATGGAGTTGCAAGACTGTATACTTTATGCCCCTTGAAATCGTCCCCAGTGAGATGCTTGCCGTCTTTGTGTATAATAGACAGCTTGCTCGCGACGCTCTCCAAGTACTTCAAGCCATCTCTTCTACAGCCTGGAAACAAGCCAGCCACATGGCAGGATCCATGCGCTGTAGATAGAGCACACACGGCGCTCATCAGGCCGTCATCCCGAATGAGACAGTTTCCAAGTTCTCGTTCTCCAAGCTGGACAGAAAGAAAAAGAAACAATCGTACTCACAGATTCAAAACACACTTACAGCTTTCTGAATGGCAGACTGTATGATAGAACGCCTGCTACCGTCACCAAGCATGCGACACCTTTGTAGGCTCAGCTCGAAACCAGACGCTGAACTATTACAGCATACACCACCATTGATGTCATACCGCACTGACGCTTCATCATGGCTGACTACGACGCGAAGCTCCGACTGCTCCTCCACCGAAACACCTTGTCCAGGAAGAAACCACACACATTGTTTCCAATGGTCACACCACTCGCTTGCCCCTGAGAACACAAATCTGCGGAGTTACTCAAAGAATCGAACAGGAAAACAAACCTCTGATCCAACGAGGAGCAGTTGAGTAGCAAACCAGGCCATCTTTGTCAAGCTGCAGCACCCACCTTGTCAAGTTCAAGCAGAGAAGAAAGCGAACCAAGAAGTAGCGAATCCGAGCAAGTTTCGTACCATGAAACTATTGCGTGAGCAGTCCCAGAGAAGTTGACATGCACGGCTTGATTAAATTCTCCACGCACATCTGGAGCTCTATAGAAGTCAAGAACGAAGGCCTCAAACGGCTCGGAAAGCTGCAGCGCCACGGGTTTTGGTAACTTGTAAGAGAACTCTACTAAATTACCAGCTTCATACCGGGGATTTCATCAACGTGAAACGCATGCTGTCTGTGCTTGAAGTAAGAGTAGAAATCATTGGGAGCGAAAGCCAATCCGTCCTGCAGCTGGTCTTCTACCCCTTGAAGGTCGTGCAATCTCCAGAGAAAGTCGCTCTCGACTAGCTAAGAGAAAGAAGTAAACTCAACACTGAGCTAAGAAAAAAGACTTTGCTATATACCTGGGCATACACAGTAGCTCGATATGGCACTGTGGCAGCATTAGGCCGGAGTAAATGCTCATGAGCGTTCCTTAGACTTGGAATGATCCCTTCTCCAAGCAACTCCGAGTCTAAAATCTCACACACCTGGAGAGACAAAGAGTCCAGAGGAAACGAAGAAGAAGAATGTGTACAGACTTAGCGTACCAATGCATCGGCTTTGCTAGAGATGTCCACCCCGACTTTGATCTCATCCGAGCCCATATGGAGCAGCTTGATCGCTCCCATCGTCCCATTGTCTCGGCAAACTTTGCGAGCCAGCTTGTACATTGGAAGAAAAGATTCGCAAGCAGTCACCTGGCACTGCTCTTCCATTGCCCGCCAAGCCATGAGCGACAAGAGCCCAGTGCCAGCACTGTCAAGAACGAGCTCAGGAAACGAAAGAAGGATCTCTCTAGCCTCACCCAATGTCCAGGACATGGCCATGGCGGCCGACCTTCGCGATTGCTGAAGAGAATGCCCTGTTCCTGGCGCGATCATTCAGCATGTCAAGATACGAGCTCTCTGCCAGGGGATCGCTCGCATCGCCGCCGTCGCCTCCATCGCCAACGAGAATCCATTCGCTCTCCCCCGTGAGCGCATTCACCCGCTGCTGGAGCATTGCTTCCTTCTAAAACCCTAAACTCACAAAGAATGAAAGAATGACTGGGTGCTTGGAGCTCATCCAATGCTGTGCAACTCCATCTCAAGCTCTCCAAGCTCACTCCAGGATCCAATCCATCACTAGCGGCGATATCTTCCTTTGCAACAAGCTCATCCAGATGTACGGGAGGTGCTCTACTGTCTCTAATGCCCGCCGCGTGTTTGACTCGCTCCCCAGAAAAGATTCCTTCTCCTGGGGTCTCCTGCTCAATGCCTACGTACTGAACGGGGTTTTGGAGGAAGCCCAGAGAATCTTTGCCCCACAAGAGCGTCATGCCTTGGAATGTGCTCTTGGCGGGATATGCCCGGACTGGGCATATGCAAGAGTGAGTGAAGATGTTCGAGGAAATGCCCGCTAGAAACGAGGTGAGCGACACAACAATGATCAGATCAGTGTGTATGCCCACTGCCCAGTGTGGAGAGGTAGAGGCTGCGGTTGGGGTCTTTGAGCAAATGCCGGAGAGAGACATGGCTGCTCCGAGAATGGACGGCTGGATCTCTCCCAGCAGCTGTTTGGCAGTATTCCTTTGCGGAATGTGGCGACGTGGAATGGCATGCTGGCAGCGTATGCCCGTGCCGGTCGTGTAGAGGAATCTACAAACTTCCTAGAAGAGAGAAGCACAACAACCATGTTTTTAGGGACATTGTCAATGCTTGCGGCATATGCCAGCCAACAGTTGCATAGAGCAGTCAACGTGCGTGTTTGAGAAAATGCCACAGAGGGATCTTGTGTCATGGACCACAATGCTGCTCTTGAAAAGCAAGAGTGTGGCGTACAGAATCGAGGAGATACAGCACCACTTCAACCCCGTGCCAGAGCAAGGCCTCCTATCCTTCAACACAATGCTCTCGGCATATTCTCAGCATGGGCATCTGGCCAAGGCCATAAGAATGTTTGTAAGTCTCCCCCAACACGAATCTGCCACGTGGAATACTGTGCTGACAGCATATGCCGGTAATGGGCATCTGGGCAGAGATTTGAAGCTGCTGGCCCTGATTCCCGTGCCTGACATGGTTTCATATGCCGGGATGCTGGTAGCCCTAGCTCATTTGAGGCATTGGAACTGTTTGGTTCTCTAAAGACACACCTCCCGGACTTGACGTGCTTTGTTTTGGGTCTGGTGGCTTGCAGCCATACTGGAAATGTGAGGCGAGGAAGGTAGTGCCTTTGCTTCAGTGGTAGCAGACTATGGAATGGAGCCAATCGATGCTTTGTGGATCTGTTGGGCCGGTCAGGGCATCTCAATGAGGCCATTGCAAACCTGCCATATTTTCCAGATGTTTTGGAGTGGACTAGCTTGCTTGGGCCAGCCATAGAGTCTTACAGAACGGGGGCCGTGCTGCAAAAATGGTATTCAGGATGAATCCAGAGCAGGGAGGAGCATATGTATTGTTATCCACACTTATGAACCGGTAACACTGACATGATCATCATCGTACAAGTAACTTTTCTAGCTAGCGGATAGTGGTCATTTTGTAGCATTTGGAATGTAGAAAGGCTGACATGGGAAAAACAAGAGAATTAATCCTATGTTACTAGTATAGAAAGAAAAATATATTTTAAAGATTATTCCCACAAAAATATCAACATTTCAGATAAAAATGACACCACACTCTTGCGTATATAAGGTCATTGTTTTCATCAAGTCTTTTTTGTTTTTTCCATGGCTTTCCGTTCATTCTTTTCAATTCTCCTTGATTCAAAGGTGGTGATAATGCTAAAAAATTCAATGGCACTTGTGTTCCTCAGCAATCTTTAGCTTTACTGATTCACTCTCTGATACTGGCAACCGCAACCTTGAAGCAATTGCTGCTGGCGCTTTTAGTCTCTCTGGAAATTTGCCATATTGAGTGACACTTGGAAAAAAACGACAGGGGATGGATATATTTGTATTGATTATTTAGCTTGTTCTCTCAAGCTTGGAGATTTTGAGCGTCCTAGCTTGACTTACAATGGAACTTATTTTATGGGCCTGAATTTGGAGTGACTGTTCGTCCAACTAGTATTATAATACTTCTGTTCTCATGTTTTATCTACGCAAGTTTCAGGTTTTCTATGACATAAACAATATTACAACTTCATAAAGATAAAGCACTTTATTATATTGGTAATAATCCTAATTATGGTATGCAATATGGAAAATATCAATTCCATCTGTGGTGGCTGGCATTAAATCTAGTATTATGGATTTATATAATTCTGGTGCCAAACATTTTCTGGTGATGAATCTTCCTCGTCAAGATTGTTCTCGTGGCTATTTACAAGAATTTGTTGATATTGGGGGTATGCAATATGTTATTGAGCTTACAAATATTATTAAGCTATTTTGGATATCGTGAATGATATTAAAAATCAGAACGATGATATTGAACTATACTATTTTGATTGGTTCTCTGCACGCACTGAGCTTATGAAATATGGATCAATATGGATTTAAAACTTATAAAGTGGCTTGTTGCAGTGCACCAGGAGATGATTTCCATTGCAACAATCCAATATTATGTGGATGCGGAACACAAAATGGTACACTATGTGATAATCCAAGTGCACATTTATCTTTTGATGGTTTAACATTTTTATGAGGTTTCTTCCAAGATTATCAACAATTATATTACTCCTAGCGTGACTTTGTTGGTATCCTCTGATGCAGTTCATCTAAGTGTAGTACCAGCT